CTCTTCCACCCTTGGACCCATTTCCTGGGTTTTGGGGAAGTGCCTCATGTAGGTCAGTCCTTACCTCTGCCCCATTGTCATCCCCCTGACCTCCTGCTGCCCCAGTGAAAGGGATTGTATCCTCTGAGAAGCCTTTCCCAGCAGGGAGCTGATGGATGTTATCTTCTGCCTAAGCCCATCCTGCCATAGCCCAGCTGACCTTTCACCTGACACAGGTCCAGTTACGTAGGTACTCCCTGTCTCACCTGTACCCTCCCACACCACACTTAGACTGGACTGAGAAGACAATGAGATAAGGACACAGCTTGGCCATTTCTCTTGCCTCCATAGGACCTATCCAAAGGCTCGAGCAGAGAGTTGAGGTTATGCTTGGGGACTGAGTGTGGTGGGGAAGGGAGTAGGTAAGAGTCAGACATACTGAATAGAATGGACTGTCTCCTACCTTGGGCAAATTGTATGGCTCTTAGCCTCAAATTCCCTCACCTGTAAAATGGATCTGTGAATATGTCCTACCTCAGAGCCCAAGGGAGTCAGAAAGACAGGGCCCAGAGGCGACTCCTCACTGTGAGGAGACAGGGTGTTCTCTTTATGTTGACACATATCCCTCCCCCCTCAGAAATAGGGTGAAGTTGTGACCACATCCTGTCTGGTCATAAACTACCCCCACCCTAAATGTTTGGCATCCTGCCCATGAGTGGCATGGAAGTCTCCTCACAGGACTTGTCTTGGCCCCTCCTCCCTTCTGTCCCCCAATCCACAGGCCCTCCCTGCCCTGGGTGTGGACTTGGGGAGTCAGGAAGTGAAGGTAGGGTGTCTCTCAGCTGGAGGCAGTTCTTCATGATTCAGCAGGCCCTCCCCCACAGTGCCACTTTCCCAGGAGTGTGGGTGGTGTGAGGATCCAGCTGGTCATTAGAGGGCCTGGGACCTTCCTGTGGGGTGGGTGCGAAGCCAGGAGTCTTGGCCTCTCCAGGTGGGCTGTCCCCTGGGCTGGAGCCACCAGCCCAAGGCGGGTAGTGGTGTCTGCTGGCCCCGCGGTGACCTGAGCTCTGGTAATTGGGAGGAACCTGAGACTGGACTTGGGGACCTGATTTCTCTTGGCACTGTCTGTGTGTAGGACCATGAGCAAGTAGAGAACAGATAGTCCCGCACAGCAGTGAGGATGTGAGCTCAGCAGTGGAGGGACAGGCCTGGGTTCAATGTGGCCTCTGTCACGCACTAGCAGAGTGACATTGGGTGTTGACTGTATCTCTGAGACTTAGTTCCCTCATCTGTGAGTGGGGCTAGAGACAGTCCCTGCCCCCCAGGCTAGTGAGGGGGTTCTGTGAGAGCCTATATGGGAAAGAGCCCACTGACTAGCACCAACCAGGCCCTTAGCAAAAGGCCACTATCACCTCTATTTCAAATTACCTGTTTCTACCTCCCAGAGATAAGGAGCTCTGGTGAGTGGCATAGTGGTTACAAATCGGGCTGCTAACCTAAAGGTCAGCAGTTCGAAACTACCAACTGTTCCACGAGAGAAAGATGAGGTTTTCTGCTCCCTTAAAGATTTACAGCCTCAGAAACCCTGTGCAGGGTCACTATGAGTTAGAACTGACTCCACCACGGTACTTAATAAATAACAACCTCCCAGAGATAGGGAGGTCCTGTGTCCCTGCTGCTCCCCACCACACCTGCTCTGGCAGACTTAGAAAGGCTGGGGACAGGAAGCATTTCGCATTTGCAGGGAGATTCTGTTTCATGAAGGGTTTGTTACCATTATCATTATTAGTATTCTCAGTAATCAAAATAAGGTAGCCCAGGCCAAGGGGTCTTGGTGACACTGTGGAATAAGTGTCAGAGTGCTGACTCTGCTAGATAAGTGGTTCAAACCTACCAGCTGCTTCACAAGAGAAAGATGAAGCTATCTGATCTCCTAAAGATTTATAGCCCCTCAAACCCTTTACAAGAGTACTGATGTGGCACTGTGGGATAAAGCACTGGACTGCAAGGTCAGTTTGAACCACAAGGTCAGCAGTTCAAACTCACCAGCCACTCCTTGGGAAAGGGTTGCTGTATGTCAGAACCGACTTGATGGCACTTAACAACAATAACAACAAACTCTATACAAGGTCATTATGAGTTGAAATTCACTTAACCTACAGTGGGTTTAGTCTTATAACCTAGGTACTTCTGGTCCCCTCCCCATTTGGCAAAACACTAGATTTTATTAAAATCTAGATTCTAGGTTACAAAGTAGGGTGTCCTGTAAAATCACAACTTTACTTTTTTTTTTAAAGTTTTTATTATGAATTATGTGATAGTTTACATGGGAGAATATTAGTTTTACATTCATCCTATCATATATCATTTCATTGCCATGGTTACAATCCCCTCCATGCATCATCAACCAACCAAAGGGTATACCCTGTAAGCTTGCCCCCTAGTCTCAGCACACAGCCCCTTTCCCTCTCTGGGTCTAAAGCCCCCAGCTGCTCCATCTCTCCATGTCATCGTCTCTGCCTCCATCTCTGGCGTCACTGCCTCTTTGGGTAGGGTCCCATTCTCCGCTTTTCTCCCTTGATGGTCCTAGGGACCTCTGCTCCTCGACTGCGAAGTTAATCACTCCCCTCCTTGCTACAGAACATCTACCTTTACATTTCCAATCCTCACAGTCAGTGCTGATAGCAATTATTCACTATTGTACCACAAAAGACCTATCTGCATCTCCTTTCATTAGCCCCACCCAGTCAGATTGGATACTACTCAATAGAGATTCTACCTTCCTCCATGCCCTCTGGATCTAGGCTGCCTCTTGAAAGCTTGTAAGCCAGTCACTTCTTGCCTTTGTATCAACCCCCATTTTAGGCAGCCAGTGTCCAAGCTGCCCATTCCTGTCTACCCTGTATACCGAGGGGGTGGGAATGATCCTTGCTGTAAAGATTTGTTCCTTCTTTTGAGCTACTGAATCCATAGGTGTAGGTCAAGTTCATCAAATTGTATCAGATAACTCTGTTTTTTTTTCCTCTTCTTACTTCTTCTAGTCCAGTTCTGATTATCCAGTCATTGAAGCCAGGTCAGATGGATATTATCTGCAAGTGTGGGTGTTCTTGTATAGCTTTACTTTTTAAAATACACAGAATTTTAAAAAATATTCAGGACACGTGTACTAGAATTTTGGGGAATACAGATTAGCCTTTTTCCTTGTCTTCTTTCTGTTTGGCTCACTTCCCCAGGAGCCCTTTGTGTGGGTCTGTCCTGTTTTCCTTCGATGCTCCCAGAGCCCTATATGGACATGACATATGTACACAGGTAGACTTTTTCTAAAACTTCACTGTTGTTTTGTTTTTTTTTACAAAATTGAGTTCTCAACTGGTTAAACCCCAGAGACATTCTGCTGCTTTGCTTGTTGGGCGTGGGGAATGGGGAGTTAATAGATGTTACTGATTTTGCAATC